TTCTTGACATGGTTTTTTCCCCCTACTTTAAGTAGATTCTAAGTAAGATTCTGAATTTCAGGAGTAACAACAACAGTAACAAAAAAACTGCCACCTGTCAATCTGGAGTGGCCTGCCTCTTTCTTCTGTCTCTCCTAGCCCAGGATGCGTGTACAAGGGCCAGTTTCAAATTTCACCCAAGAAACTCCTCAGGTTGCAAACAAACAGGCATGCTGAGATTATGTAAATAAATGCAATGCAGTCTAAAATGAGCTGTTCTTTTAGACTTAAATTTTGTTGCTGCCTCATAGAATTATAAATTATAGATTATAGATTGCTCTGCTCTTCTTTTTTATTTGTTCAGTTTCTGGAGTCTTGTTTCTTCCTCTCGGTCAGAGGAACCTTTCTAGGTGACTGGGGTGGACTTAACTGAAAAGTCCACCCCAGGACAGGTGGGCAGGATTCCTCTTTTACTCTTGTTTACCAAGTGCTTTTTAAAATCTGATTTCATTTGGTAGAAGTATGGCATTAACTGATGTGTGCGTTAAGTATAGCATTGCTTCCCTGGAGAGTGGATAGTGACTCCTTTCTTTTTCTTAAAAAAAAAATAGACTGTTTTTCATAAAAGCAGTTTTAGGGTCACAGAAAAATTGTGCAGAAAGTACAGAGAATTGCTGTATTCCTCCCCACCCCGCCCTCGGTTTCCCTATTATTAATACCTTGCATTGGTGTTCTACATTTGTTACAATTGATGAGCCAATATTGATACATTATTATTATTATTAACTGAAGTCCATAGTTTAGAGTTCACTCTTGTACATTATAGGGGTTTGGACAAATATATAATTATGTAATGGCATGTATCCACCATTATTGTATTATACAGAATAGTTTTACTGCCCTAAAAATCTTTTGTGCTCCCCCTGTTCATCTCTCTCCACCCCAACCCCTGACCACCACTGGTCTTTTTACTGTTTCCATAGGTTTGCCATTTCTAGGATGTTATAAAGTTGAATTCATATGGTATGTAGCTTTTCAGATTGACTCCTTTCACTTAGCAATACGCATTTATGATTTCTCATGTTTTTAGTGGCTTGATGGTTCATTTTATTCCTGAATAATATTCTATTGTATGGCTATACCACAGTTTATTTATCCATTCTTCTCTTGAAGGACATCTTGGTTGCTTTGAACCGTAGGCAATTATGAATAAAACTTGCTATAAATATTTGTAGGTTCTCTTTGTGGACATAAATTTTCAGCTCATTGGGGTAAATGCTAAGGAGCACAATTGCCCTTCTTTTTCAATAAAACTTTTAAATCTCTTATTTATATCTTGATAAATTATAATTTGCCTTTTGTGGCTAACTCTTGTGACTGTGTCTCTCCCAATTTCTTCCCCTTGAAACCATTTCAGTTTCTGCCACATATGAATCCCAAGAATGCCAGACACATGCCAACAGCTTTCTCTCTGAAAAGCAAAAAAAATGTTTTCAAACTTGTAGGAACTACACTGATTCACCTTACAGTCATTGATAGAGGTAGTCCATGAAATAGTTTGTTTCTGCAGGTGGATGTTAAGTGCTAATAGTTACTCTTAGCAAAATACACTGCCTTGTCACTTCTGGTTCCTGCAGTCATATACACACGTGTAGTTAAGTTTTGCTCTTTCTTTTAATGATGCCCCAGCCTGTTTATTCTGATCAAAACCACTGCTCACAAGGAGACAATAATGACTTTAGAGTTCATATACTCTGAATTGTGTGTGATACTGGGAAAATCTCGCAGCCTTTCTGATGTCCAGTGTCCTCGTTTGTGAAATGGACCAATAATATCCACCTGGCGAGGTGATGTGGAAGATTGGAGGTGATGTGAATAAAGCATCTACTTCCTATATGCCTGGCTCATTGGGAGCAATCTGTAGATGATGTGGTGGTGGTGATAATAGCAGCTGTGCATATAGCAAATAGGTAGCCTGGGAGAATTAGATGCTTTGTGCTTCAGTAGGAAAGTTTTATCTGGAAAGTAAGAAGGGTGACCAACACATATAACCATGTCTCCTGATAGTCCCCCCCCCCCCTCCGTTTCCTACTGATGTCCAGGTATGCTTAAAAACATTCAGAGATGTCTCTTTGCCATTAATGCCTAATTCTCTTCCTGACCTGCCAGCAGGTCCCATCGAGCTGTGTCCCATGAGGATCTAATAAAAAAGCATTTCTTTTCTTTGTCCACTTTGTCCACTCCTGTTCCACATTCTCTTGTCAGCATGCTTCTTCCTCCCTATGCTTATCTGAGATTTCCTGTGTATCACACAAAGCTTCACTGCATGCTCCAGTCCACAGTTTGTTGCTGTTGCCCCTTCCTTCCTGACACCAGAATAATTGGTGACTGGCCATTCATTAGCTCATACTCATAAACTATATTTTGTTGTTGTTAATCCACCTAAGCAAGCTCTTGAACTTAGGGGACCATGACTTCTATTTCATGTACGCCACACAGTGCCCTATCAGATATAGATGTTTAACTAATCAATGAATTAGTTAATTTAACTCAATCCCAGAAACTAAGTGGGTATTTCTCTCATAAAACTGATTTCTGGGCAACTTTAAAATAAGGAGGACGTTCATTTGCCCAGGAGAGGTTCAGTTTTATCTAGGAGTAAGACTATGGAGCAATAAAATACCCCTGCAAGTCCTTTCTGGGTGGGTAGCTGTCTTAAGATTTTGCTATCTGGGAAACCCTGGATTGTCTGTGGATTAGCTGAGATTGATCTTTTACATCAGTCACCAGTCTTGGCGTCCACCATAGCCATGCTGACTCTGTCATCTCCTAAGGGGCTGATGCTCAACATTAATGATAACATCAGCCCAGGTGGCATGTAATTGGGAAAGTGAGCCTTTTTACAACCTAGAATAATATGAGAGATATTCATATCCAAATAGAATAAATATAGTTGTGGATTACTTCCTATTTGTGTTCATACCACCCTCCTCACTCCTCTCGACTAATCCAGCTTGATACTTGACTGTCCTTCTAATTGTTGTCACCTGGAACACTGACAATGCATTTTGCTGAAGGGGAAGCTTAACAAGGTTGGTAACTTAGTGCAGGTTATTTGGAGGACACTCACGCCGACTCTTGAGTCCAAGTGAGTTCAGAAAGCAATGGAATATTCCGTACATCCCCCCACATGACTTCTGCTGCCCGCCAGGGTCTGTTTCTCCTGTAAGAAATCAGAGCTGTCTGGCAGAGGCCGGCTAAAATCAGAGCAATCCTGACTTTAGCTGTTTCAGAAAGTGACCCAGTATTTGAGGAATGATGAAGACATAATTAAATATGCGTAAAAGGCTTGGAGTTCTTCCCGTTCTCTTCCAGAATGGGTGTTCACTAGTGTGACTGTTATTTTTGTGACTATCACTTTATCTACATTTCGACTAGCACTTGGAACACTACCTCTGGGCAACTTACATGAAAGCTTGTTTTCCAGGATGAAGTAAACTGGCAGAAATTTCCATTGTCCATCAATTCTGGTGTAAATGGTTTGCCCTTGCTGGATATTTCTGGACCCTGGGTGTCCTCCCGACGAAATAACTGCTGTTTCTCCAAGTGCAAAGTGGTTGAGGAGATAGCCAGTGGATGCTTCAGGCTTTTATTTTCTATCCCTGATACATGAAAAGATAGCCTAAATTGTCTGAGAAGGGACAGCATTCAGCTCTGCTGGATTTCCAGTGCTTCCCAGATTTTGCACTATTAGCTTATTTTTTCCAACACGGCTCTATAATAACAACCCACTCCTTTCCCTGCACTCCTGGCCCCTCATGATGTTTTATTATGCTCATGCTGAAAGAAAAGGTGTCTGTGCATACTGTATCTCTTCATTTGGCTTCAGGGATTTCCCTTTGATTTGGAAAGAATAATCTTTCAAATTCCGCTATAAAATATACAGGAGAGAAAAAACGATTAAGTTCCAGGAATGTGCACTGGTGTTGACATTGTGCTCTAATATTGCTCCTGTGAATGATCAATTACTCCTAAGTCTGAATTATTGGCACTGCTGTTCACCACCTTCGGCATGGTTTAACTTTGTTTCCATTATGCTCAGTCGGTTGAGCGCCGACTTTGGCTCAGGTCATGAGCTCACAGTCTGCATGTTCAAGCCCTGTGTTGGGCTTGGAGCTTGGAACCTGCTTCAGATTCTGTGTCTTCCTCTCTCTCTGCCCCTCCCCTGCTCACTCTCTCTCTCTCTCTGAAAAATAAACATTACAAAAAAAAATAACTTTGTTTCTATCCTTCAAGACATTAAAGCCTAGTCACTATTCTGCAGGTACCTCCAAGACACCGGGAGCAACTCCACAGCCCCCTAACTGCTCTCTCCCTAGTTCTGCCCGGAATATTTATGGTGAGTAGCCAGTTATCTCCTCTCTGGCAGCCGTCCCTGCTTTCCTGTAGCGTGGAATTGCCCACATTCACATTTGCAAACAGAGGCTCACTCAAGTGTCACTAAGGGAGAGAGGAGGTGGAGCCAAAAGGGCTTTAAAAAGGAAAGGGAGTCATTCTACTTTTCATAAAGAGAAACTGTTTGGGGAGCAATCCTGTCTCTGTATTTCTCCCTTCAGCCTCATCAAGGGTCGTTGTTGGAACTTTCCATCACTTCTTTCCTTTTCTCTCTCTCTAGCCATTGCCTACACCGCTCTGCCTATCATAGCGAAGTCAGCTGCAGGCTTCCAGAGTGTGGCTGTTCAACTGCGAAATTTGTCATAAAGGTGTCAGGCATTTCTTAGGGACTTGGACTTCCCAAAAACATAGAGAAAGAAATCTTTCCTGGAGTGTCCCTTTCAGGCTGTCTTGAGTTGAAGGAGACAGAACTGGAGGACTACAGCAAAACAGCGGATTAAAAGATGCCCCAGGGCTGCAGGCCAACCCAGGGGGACACGCTTGGGGTCAGACGGACCGACTTTGCCCGGGCTATGCTCGAACAAAGTCAAGTTATTTTCTATTGAAAGTTCAAGCCCATCAAGATTATGCTGCTCTTCCTTATCATTCTGTTGCCAGTAGTTTTTAAATTTAGTTTTGTTAGTCTCTCAGTACTGCAAGGCTGGGACTGTTCTGAAGGCTCTTCCTCAGGAAAGGGGAATTCTACTTGTGTGGGTAAGTAATCTCATGAAAAGGCATTCACATCTTCCCAGAAACTGCCTTCAAATACCTGTTCATTCTGTTTTGTATACTTGGATATGTTTTTATGATTTGTCTTTGGGTGTATATATTGGCTTAATTTTTGTTTTCTAATGCATGTATATTTCCTTCCTGGTTGTTAGAGGTAATCTGCTACCAACTATAAAAATTCACAGCTCCCGAACTGTTCTTACGTGTGTGAGGGAATATGTTCTCATTTATAACTAGCTGAGCATTTCATGTAAACCTCTGTCTTTATTCTGACATGAAGAGTAATACTCAGTTGGTTAGCTTTATATTGGAAGCTGAGGAAACAGATGGAGTTTTTTTTTTTTTTTTTGAAACTGTTTCTATGTAAGCCATAAAGGAAAAAAAGATCCTTTCTGATAACTTTGTGTAAGAACTCAGAATTTGCTAAAAAACAAAACAAAACAAAACAAAAAACAAACAGTGAAAAATGGGAAGGGAATAGGGAACAAATGTAATTCTGAAATTGTGAAAGTTAAGCCAAGTTTCACGTTAAATCTCCTCCCCTCCCTCCCCTCTCCTGCCCTGTCTGGATCTCTGACGGCAACTTCAGTGTTCTAGTAACAGGTGCATTGTAACTTTGAGCACTGCTAAGAAATAACGGTGAATAAATATGCCACACCCCCTCTGATATTAAGTGGGTTTTTAATCAAGGAGAAATAGGACTTTTACTGAATGCAAATAACAATCCTGCCTAAGGACTTTGCCTGAAAAATCTCTCTCTCCCCCTCCTTCCTCTTCTTCTTCCCCCTTTCTCTTCTTTCCTTCTCCCCTACGCCTCCTCCACTTCTTCCTCTCTCCCTCTCTCCCCATCTTCCTCTTTCTCTCTCACCCTCTCTTACTGTCGATTCATTTTATTTATTCCTTGGGTATGTCTCCAAACTGCTGCTCAAACAGAGCAGCCGTTTCCATTCATCAGAGGGCACTGACTGCCCTAACATACCTATCCTGTCATCCTGACCTTTTGTAAAGGGGTCTGGCTCCCAAAAAGAGGTAGGGTGAAGGAAACACAGTACAGTTCTCAGACCAGAAGCCTCTGGAAGACAGCACCAAATAATTGGAATAAAGAGAACAATTCTGAGTCAAACTGCCGACTTTGGGCTCCTGCCCTGGCTCTCCCATGAAGGAAGTTACAGATGAGGAAATCAGGTGCTCTTGCTCAGAATTCGGGACTCTGTCTCCAGGCAGTACTCATTGTAACAAGTGAGCAGAGCCCTAGGGCACTGGAAGGAAGGACTGAATTCTAGTGATCTCTATGTCTCCAGCACCTAGAACATTTCCCCCTTGATAGTATATACTCTATACATTCTTCCTGAATGAATGAGAAGTCTCTCCCTGACCTGCTAATCATATAGTCCCAGAGAATAGCTACAAAAAGGGGGTGACAAAAGGCCAAATGACCCCATGAACTGATTACTCAGCTGTTGGAGCAGAAATAAAAGCTTTGGGACAATTATGTCAAGTGGACTGGAGCCTCTCTGGGGTGGGAGAATTTTCTGAGAGTAGTTGGCACGTGACCAGGGGCGGGCATTGCCATCTGCCTAGGATGTGAGGGGAGATGGTAGGAGCCAGTCAAGAAGCAGAACCCGAGAAAGCAAAAAAATTACAGAAATGAACTGTTACACATAGCTTTAGAGTCTTAGGGAACAACCCGATTCCTGCCAGCAAAGGAGCTTCTGCCTTGTGCTCCTCCCTGATGGTGGCTCAGAAGTGCCTTCACTGAGACTGGTTGCACCAAATAAACCTGAAGCCCAGGGTAGAGATAGTGTGCCACAGAGTGGAAGGTTTTAAAAGCGAATGTACCTCATTTCAAATCCATTCTACCTATTTACTACTGGAATGTTGCTGGGAAATAATAATACCCCCCTTTCAGGATTGTTGTGAAGGTCACATGAGATGACACATGACATGCACCTAGCACAGAGGGCTGTGGATTGTGCTCAGTACATGTCCTCTTGTCTAAAACACCTTGATCGAATCATACCATGAGATGCCTTATTTGAACAGTGGCACAGACCCCACAGAGTGTGGAAGGTCTGGATGCCACTTTGTGACTCTGCCTCTGCTCTCTTGTTCCTTGCCAAGTCACTGGTGTAACCCCCCTACCTTACACTCCCCATCTCATGTTAGCTGATAACTGCCTGGGTCACACCCTGTGCCCCCCGGCATTTCAGAGGGTAGTATTTCTCCTCTGTAAACAGATAGAGTGCTATCATCTATTTTTTTTCTCCCAACTAAATTCTACTCACCTTATTTCTTGCCTTTGGCGTTGAGACAGGCCACCTCTGGCCAGCAGGAAGAATGCTTTGTGGTCTGACAAGATTCAGGTTACTTTATGCAAGGTTGTCACTCATGTGACTGGTAGCCAGATAAACCTCTTGGTAACACAGCATTGGGTTTTCTTCTCATTCCCCACTACCCCTCCTGCCTTTTTTTTTTTTTTTTTAAACTAAATGAGTATTTTATTAGCCTCTGTTTGAGCTAGAATAGGTGAAGAGTACAATGAGGAAAACTGCTGGCAAATGGCTTCTGAACTTTCAAGCCTATTTGCCCTGGAGGGGAAATATCAGCTGAAAAAAGAAACTTTTCCTGTTTGCTGTGTGTACCTGTATTATTTATTTGAACTTTCTTGGTAAATAAAGGGTGAGGAAGAAGTACAGGCCAACCCTGAGACAGCTGACTGCAGGAGGGATCCTGGGACACCAAGTTAGCCAACCGGGGAGATCACGCTTAGTAAACAGTGAAATCCCCGATTTCAGCACTGGCTAAGGCTTGCTCAGCTTTCCAGTCATGTGCAAAGCAGAGTAATTCCAGGATCACAGCCTTGTTTGTTTTTACAGCCAAGGTTATGCAAAAATTTTTTTTTAAGTTTATTTATTTATTTTGAGAGAGAGAGAGAGAGAGAGAGGAGAGAGAGAGAGAGTGGGAGAGTGTACGAGCAAGAGTGGGGCGGGGAAGAGAGTGAATCCCAAGCAGGCTCCCGTGCTGACAGCACTGGGCTCGAACCCGCAAAACATGAGATACTGACTTGAGCTAAAATCGAAAGTTGGACACTTAACTGACTGAGCCACTCAGACAGCCCCAAAGTTTTTTTTAATCTAACAGCAAAGAAATTATAGAAATGATCTTTTATGCATACCATGTGAATGAAACCACACCCTCAAGTACTAAGTGGTTTGTGCTTTTTTGAGGGGTAGTAGAGCTTAGTGGTAAAAAACTCAAGTTTTGGAGATAGACTGGGGTTCAAATCCTGTTGCTTGTGTATCACGTGTCTCATTTTCCTTGCTGCAAAACAGAGATAATTACTCTCTCCTTCCAGGATTGTTCTCGGGATTGTGTTAATGTATTTGTTTTCAATGCTGGCTGCACATTACATTCACCAATGTCCAGGTTATTATTCTAGTCCATCTGGGTCAGAGTCTCTTTTGCGGGTGAAATCCAGCCATCGTTTTCTTTGTTATTCTCCCTTGGCAATTCTAATGGCCATAATGGGCAGCCTGAGTTCAGGACCACTAAATTAATACATATGAAGTGCATAAAACAGAGCCTGGCACATAATTAGCACTCCATGAGTCTTAGCTGCTATTAATATTTTTGTTGTTCTCGAGATTATTTTTATTGGTGGTGATAGTAGTAGTATTTTCTAACTATGGCTTAGTTTCATCTACAATAATTGAATTTTTTTTTAATTTTTATTTATTTTTGAGACAGAGAGCATGAATGGGGGGAGGGTCAGAGAGAGAGGGAGACACAGAATCAGAAGCAGGCTCCAGGTTCTGAGCTGTCAGCACAGAGCCCGACGCGGGGCTTGAACTCACGGACCGCGAGATCACGACCTGAGCCGAAGTCGGACACTTAACCGACTGAGCCACCCAGGCGCCCCTTGAATTTTTTTTTGTACACAGAAAAATGTCACATTGAAAAACTTGATAGTTTTACATTTAAAAATGTAGTCAAAATAATTTCAACATTTATAACATATTTTTGTAATCAGGAGAAATGGTTGTTAAAAATATGAAAACATTTCAACCTGTTTTGAGTTAGTGCCCTTGTGGAACTACAGTTCCAGTGCTTGTCTTTCTGCTTGTTAGATTTCTTACCAGTAATAATTTTATTTTTTATAACAGTAGCGAAAACAAGCCACTTGAAAATGATTATTTTAATTTTTTAAAGTTTATTTATTTATTTTGAGAGAAAGAGAGTATGAGTAGGGGAGAGGCAGAAAGAGAGCGTGAGGGAGAATCCTAAGCAGGCTTAGCGCTGTCAGCACAGAGCTTGATGCAGGGTTTGAACCCCTGAACCGTGAGATCATGAACTGAGCTGAAATCAAGAGTCCAATGCTTAACCCACTGAGCCACCCAGGCACCCTGAAAATGATTATTTAAATTCTTGCATATTTTTTTCTTATATTTGGAAGCAATTTCTCTAAGATTTTTTTAAAAGATTTTATTTTTAAGTAATCTGTATACCCAATGTGGGGCTCGAACTCATGACCTTGAAGTCAAGAGTCAGACACTCCTCTGACTAGCCAGCCAGCCGTCCCTTCTCTAAGATTTTTAAAGTTGTTGAGGGCATATAAAGAAATGATAAAATAATTATTTAAACGAATTTACATTTTGGGGCAAGTTGGGTTGTCCAAATATTTGACATTCAGTTTAGAAGTTGGAAGGTGGGAATTCTTTGCTTGTGTTCAGGAGACAGCAAGTAATTGTCTCCCATTAAAAGTAAATGGACTAGTAAGTTGGCTCATGTAAATTCAGGATCTGGTTTTACCAGCTACAAATTTGCCTTCATGAAAATCCACTTGAGATCATTTCTTATTTAGAGTGAATGAATGGTTCTTTCTTTCCTCCCTCCCTTCCTTCCTTCCTTCCTTCCTTCCTTCCTTCCTTCCTTCCTTCTTTCTTTCTTTCTTTCTTTCTTTCTTTCTTTCTTTCTTTCTTTCTTTC